CAAGTGCATTCGATAGTGATTAAAAATAAAATTTAATGTGTAACAAACAGTCACCACTACCTACCTGCGAGGGCAGACTCTGGCTGCCTGAGAAGTGGGCGCTGAGGCGATTCTGTCCTGGGACACCTGCGGTGCGGGCCAGACTGGGAGATGGGCCTAGCTGCGGCTGTCACCAGCCGACTTCTGGCACAGGAAGTTTTTAAATTTGTTTTCCAGGAAGTAGAAGGAATACATGCTCAAGTGATGATTAAAAAGGGATGAAAAAATAGCACGAACATTTGAATGTGAAAATTCGTGTTGCCCATTAATCCCCCTCCAGGTCCTTCCCTCCCTTTGAACACACACAGCCTGTAGTTTGTGCCGCTTTCTGAAGCAGCTCTGGAGTCCTCTTTCCTGAGTGTCTTTCGTTGCGCTGTCCTGGCCGCCTTGCTGTCCTGAATGCATCCACAGTGTTTCCCTTTTATGGCCCTTTAGGCTGTGGGAAAAGCCAGAAGTCGCACAGTGCAGCTGGTGAATAGGTGGATGAGGACACAGTGTCACCTTTTCATGAGCCGCCTTCCTGCTGGATGGCAGCAGCCTCCGCCGTGTCTTTCCTCCCACCTGATAGAGACAGGCGGGAGAGGACTCCAGAGGTGCCCGAGAGAGGGGCGAGAGCAATGGGACAAGTGTGCCGCAGTCAAGGAGGAGTGCGTGAAGGAGGATCGATGGCAGCGCATCTCATCCTGTAGTAAATGTTTAAGGGTAAACATTCTCCCTTGTATAACAGAGTGAACACAGAAACCCGGCATGCAGTTCTTTGTTACGATTGTGAGTGTCACGTACCATTCGGAATTGCACGTGCTCTGTTTTACACAGCTGGCGGGGTAGTAAGTTTATTTATTTACACCGGCATCGGCGTGCCCAGGGGGTTTCCACTCGGGACCTCCGTAGGATCTGTGGTCGGAGCGACTGCCCACCACAGGGCAGGGCGTCACTGTCACTCGGGGTAGAGTCCTGCTGGGAGGACTCCTGTGGTCCCCCGCGTCCCGGGAAGGGGCGGAGCGGTGGAGCTCAGTGCTGGTCCGTCCGTGCTGCTGCGGCCTTCGGGTGTGTGTGGCCCACGGGGAGGAAACGCGGTTTTGCTGATGCTTAATTTTTTGTTGTTGTTGTTGTCACGGCAAAATATTAGTTTCAAACTCAATCTTGGTCACTGATTGGTTAAATACATTCTCAGTCACTTTTTCTTTTTTTTTGGCTAAAAATAGTCCAAAAAATGTTGGTATTGGTAGCTGTATATTTATTTTTAAAATTTTCCTCTGCTTTCTCTCATCGTGACTGACCACACGAGGAAGTGCGTGTGTCTGTGTATAACGGATATGTTCCCCAGGGTGGCTCGAAGGACATATTAAAGGGCAGTATTACTTGCATCATTCCCTCCTTGCTGTGTACCGGAAGCAGAAGGACAGAGACAGGACAGGGTCGCAGGTCGAAGGTCGCACTGACGGTGTCCTCTCCATCTCAGAGCGGGGAAAGGAGGTGGAGTGTGAGGGCCCTTGTGCTTATCTTATGTGGTGTCATACAATTCTACATGAATTCTGTCAAGCTTGGTTTGGTAATTTTGTTTTGATCCAGCCACTAACACAGATTATTCAGATGTGAATAATTTTGGTGGTTTTTTTTGGTACCGGGGATCGAATTCGGGACCTTCCGCTTGCCAGGCAGGCAGCAGAACCACTGAGCTAAATCCCCGGCCCGTAGATGAGATTAATTTTAAGCGTGCCTCCTTCGTGGTGTGCCTGCGGTGTATCACTGCTTTTGGTGGAGGCAGTGAAGATGGGTCGGCCCCTGGAGGGACAGTGTGCTAGGACCTGCATGACGAGGCACGCCTGCAGTCGGGCAGAGGCTCGCTTGTCCTGAGGTGCTTTCGTTCCTCTCCCACCTCCATGACCTCTTCCTCCCCTTAACTCCTTGTTCTTCACCACTGTTGAGAAAAAGCAGAGTTCTCGGCCTGTTCAGTGCGAACAGGCATCTTTCGTTTTGCTTTTGTTGTACCCAGGATTGAACTTAGGACTTTCACCCTGAGCTCTGTCTCCAGCTCTTTTTTATTTTTTGTTTTGAGTCAGGGTCTTGCTAACATTGCTGAATTACCCATGCTGGGATTGAATTCATGATCCTCCTGCCTCAGCCTCCCAGAGTGCTGAGATTACAGGCATGTCCCACCACTCCTGCAAAGAGGGATTGTTAGCAACACTGTGTACCCATTCTTGGCATGTTTGTACCCGTAAAAACGTACATGACACAGAAAACCAACACGTGAAATACAGCACCACCCCTGGGTGTCGGGCTCCTTCCTGCTTTCTGAGTAAACCCTTCAGCCAAGGCCAGGCTGGGAACCCTGGTGGGCCCGGGACTGAGCTCAGGGCTCCCTGACTGCTAGTCCTGCTCCTACAAGGCCTGCCCTGCCCTGCCCTCTATGAGCAGGGCAGCTCCACCAGACCTTGGTTCTGATAGCATAGGTGGAGCACGTGTGACTGTCATCAGTGGGTCACACCAGGGCCGCACACAGATGGTGAGACACGGAGCTGTCTTCCCAAATCACCCTGCGACTGTCTTGTGCATGCTCCATGATCGTTCATCCATTCCCATGGGAGAACAGAGTGATAAAACCGGATTCTTACCACTCAGTTGACTTACAAAGGGATGGATTTAAAGGCTTGATAACTTGAATTTGATTTGTGCTCCCTCAGCCAGGACTTGTGACTCCTACCAAAACTGCCGGTCCCGAAGGCACCTTCGTCATCCTTCTGAGGAGTGTGCAGAACTGGATGGGCTCTTCCTTTTCCCCAGGAAAGGGTCAAGTTCAAAGTGAAGAAGCAAAGAAGAGCACGACAGCTTTCCATTTGTTTGGTTCCTTTATCCAGGAAGTCACAGAACAACGGCCAATTTTCTGTCTTTACTGTTCCGTTCACCGAATGGAGAAGAAATTTGATTTTCTCCTTTTCAAGTGATGAGAGAGGGCATGGAGGGCAGAGTTCCCTGAGAGTCTGTTAAAGTCGCATTCCCGACTCGCAGCACCTGCGACAGGGATTCAAGGTGCTCACTGACTCGCTGAGGAGGCAGAGGCTCTGAGAGGCTGATTTGCAGAGACAGAGTCCTCAATGTCTGGACTTCAGACCTGGGCTCTGTGCTTATCCCCGAAGTAAGAGAATGCGCCTGCCTCCGTCTGTTCATTCCCTCACCAGGCACTGCTGCGTGTTCACGTGGGCCAGGTGCCCACCGAGGGCAAGCAGAACAGGACTCCTGCCCTGAAGAAGTTCACAGTTTAGCCGCAAGTTGTTTTTATTTGGGGGGTGGGGATAACGGAGGGGAAGAAATGGGGTGATGGGTCAGTAGATTAATGCTTTCTGCATAAACGTAAGTGTGGTGGGGGGCCTGACCCAAGGTAGTACAGAAAAAGGCCATTCACCTTAGCCCAGGCTTCTAGCAAGTGCTGAGCTTGGCGTCAGAGATGAGAAGGGCATGAGTGGATACAAGAGAGGGAGGGGTAGGAAATTGGGATGGGTGTGAACCGGTGAGAGGAGCCGATGGGGGATTCTGGACTGGCACTGTCCGAGCACAGGCCCTGGCCGCCATGTACCACGATGGTGCCATAAGAATATTAATATAATAGGCCACAAAATTCCCACCCTTGAGTGGGACTGTAGCTGTCCTGATGTTGTAGCCCAGCACCTTCTGGGTTTCTGGTGATGCTGGTATGAACAAACCCACAGGCCTGTCAGTAGGATAAAAGTGTAGCACCGCTATGGTTTATGTCTAGATGTCCCCTGAGAGCCTCATGAGTTCACAGGCAGGGCTTTGGAAGGTGGCTGAGTTATGGGAGCTTATAGCTGACCTGCTGTTAGAAGATGGGGTCTGGTGGGAAGAGGCGGGGACCTGGAAGGGCTGTCTCCCTGCAGGGCTCCTCCCTTCTCTTTGCTTCCTGTCCACCATGAGGTGAGCAACTGCCCTCCGCCAGGCCCTTCTGCCATGCCACCCTGCCTCGGAGTGGCAGGCTGTGGACTGAAAATGTGAGCCACGGTGAACCTCTTCTACTTCAAGTTGTGGCTGTTGGGTATTTTGTCCCACCCATGAGGAAAGGCTGAGACAAGCACATAGAGTTACCTAGAGTACGTGGTAGTTGACAAGGATAATAGACGACTGGCTGGTGTATTCACTGTACTTGTATCATCCTTCTAAAGTGTGTGCCTCGTCTCCTCACTCAGTTTTATAAAAGGTTGGTAACACAGTGTGCTGGCTTCCAGTGGCAGCTTCATGTGGTTGCGAGGCCCTGTCCCAGGAAAGGCCCGTGGTCCAGGTCTGTGAATACTCTCTATGAGGGCTGCACAACCGCAGAACCTCCCGGTAATTCCCTTCTCGGAATTCGTACCCGTCACGAAGTGACATGGACTGGTTTTCTGCCTGGGTCATACCTAAGGGGTTTCCTTGCTTCAGAATCTCTCCTCTAATCCCTCTGCATTTCCAGTCTTACGCACAGCAAAGTCTGTCCTTCCCCCGATGGCAGGGGCCTTGGGGTCAGGACGAACTCGTCACTGACCTTAGTGTCCCTGCGAGGGACAGCGTAGAGCTGTCCCAAGACATTCTCGTGAACCATGCATTGGGCTATATCAAAATTCCTACCTGCCTTTTCTAGCATACCTGTAGTCCACAGATGCGTTGTTAAATACGAATTTACTCATTCCCCTACAACTTGTCATTAGAATATCTTCATACCGTGAGCCTGGCCTGTTACTTTACTAGGACACCTCCATGTCCCTGTCCTGGGAAGTTAGTCTGTGGCACCTGTCGTGTCAGAGGTGCCGGTTTGATTGGTCAGGTGAAGGCCAAGTTTCCAAAGAAACTCTGGGAAGCCCCAGGAGCCCCTAGAGAGGAATCATTAACCCGGCCAGAGGGTGTGCAGGAGGCTGCGTGACCACGTGGTAGCAGGGTGGCCAGGAACTTTTCAGCCGGCCACCGTGGTCCTGAGAGGCGGGAGAGAGAGGCCAAGCGCTCTGAAGAAGAACCGTGGTGCCCGGGGAGTGAGGAGGAATTTATTTCATGCTCCATGGACTTACGTGTCCTGAAGTCTCCCTGCTGCTTACATCTGTGCTTAGAGCGGTGACTGTTGTGTGTCTTGAACGGAGAAAAAGGTACAAAGGCAGCCCTATGACTGAAAAAATGACAGCTGTCACCAAGACCGCAGGACTGCGGGAGGGCCCCTGGATCACAGGGCCGGGCCCCGCCCTCCCTCTGCTGTGGCTTGGGTTTTAGGTGTGAAACCAAACTTCTCTTCTTGGTGGGCTCTTGATCCTCCTGCCCTTCCTGACTTTGATTTCCGACCCTACCTCCCGCCTGCTGCCCTGCAGTTGCTCTGTGTTGAAATATTTCCGTTCCGTCGTCTTTGAAATGATTCAGCAACCTGGGGGACTTTCCCAAAAATCCTCTTTACAACATGCTCTCTCCAGTCTGTTTCCAGCTTGCTTTCATCTGACACACGGGGGCCTAGCAGCAAGGAATCAGAGTTATCTGCGGAGTGGGAGTGAGTGCAGTATGTGTGTGATGAGTCCTTTTTAGTGAAGCTCCCCACCCCATGCTGGCTTCTCTGAGATTAAGTTTTAGTGAAAGACAACCGGATATTTTTATGAAATTAATCAGAAGGTTTTCTGCACAGCCAGTGCTAACAAAGTCATCTTTTCCTTCTCCTCCTCCTTCTCCCCTTCTCTTTTGCCGTGCTGGGGACTGAGCTCAGGGCCTGGCGCAGGCTTAGGCAGGAGTTCCACCACTGAGCACACCCCAAACTGGAGGACTTCAAAACCAACCCAGCACAAAGAACCACCCGGTGCTGATGGCTACAACTGAGATGTCACAAACTGAGGTGATGTTCGGTTTATGTTCTGAGGTGTAAGCCGCTTTCTCTCAGTGACCTGGGACAAAGACCGTAGCATAAGAGATGGGGCGGCCCCGTGACTGCCTGGCCTCCTGCACCCCACCCCAGTGACTACAGGGTGCTCTGCATGGGAAATGGAGAGTTCTCTGGAAGTCTGGCAGCCCTGTGAGGTGAATAAAGAGGAACCGGGTGCGCATGCTGCCCAGTTAGGTATTTGCTGTTGGTGGAGAAAGGCATTGTTAGTTCCAGTCCTGTGACCTTGGTTTTCCCCTCACTGGACCCGTCCACATACAGGGAACGGATAGGGCTGATGCTGCCCCAGATCCATGTGCATGTGGAATACGGAACACAAAAGGTGACCTTTGCTGCTTGGATAAAACACCACTTTTGGAAGCATGTTCTGCTTTTGATTAGCTCAGAAGAAGAATTTGAACCAGAGCACTAGAATATTGTGTTCATACAGGGCGGAGGATCTTACTTATCTCACAGTCAGACAATAAATATCACCTGCTGCTACCAGGCAACTACCCTGCTCAAGAGTTTACATGTCACTTTAGCAGCCGCGTCATCACATGAAATACATGTGTCAGCTAGGTGTGGTGTAAGCCCAGCTATGTGGGGGAGAGGCTGGGCAGGAGGGCCCCTTGAACCCAGGAGTTCACAACCAGCCGGGGTAACACAGTGAGACTACATCTCAAAAATCCAAAACAAAATCGAGTATCTAACTGCTGGTTTATAAAATTAATAATTTGGGGGAAATGGCACAATTGAGCATGATTCATTTGGTTTCTCATAAACTTTTTTTCTTTACTGTTTAATTTTAAAAGAAGTCCTTTTAAAGAAATATGATTAATGTAATGAACTTTAAGTTAAAAATGAAAATAGCCAGGCATGGTGACACACACTCGTGATCCCAGCACACAGGAGTCAGGGGAAGAAAGATTGTGAGTTTGAGGCCAGCCTGAACTGCATATTGAAAACTCTGTTTCAAGAAAAAGAAAAAGAAAATAAACATATTAAGCGTAGTATCTGATGTAAATCTGTGTTATGTTCCAAATTAAGAATAATACTCTAGAATATTAACTATTTTCTATTCAGGGGCGTAAAATCCAGCCCATTGACTTGAATAGGATCCTTCTGTCATGATAGAACTACTAATGGGTAATTCTGTTTTATATGAAAATTTTTTAGAGACCACCTAATAAAATTTTAAAAAGAGATGCATGGTAAGTTTGTTTTTAACATAGAAACTCTTGCAAAAATAAGTATTTTTAAAAATAATTTAAACGATTAAAATATTTTAAGAGAAAATATCATTGAGCAAATTAGTCACTACCTAAAAATGTAAAAATTGAAGATACAAATAAGGCCTTCTACAGAACTGAAATTATACTGTGCTATTTTTCAAATTTTACTGGAAAACAAATATTTCAGAAATAGTCTAACCAGAGCCAGGGATTTAGCTCAGTGGTTCTGACACCTGCCTTGCAAGCACAAGGTCCTGAGTTCGATCCCTGGTTAAAAAAAAAAAAAAAAAAGAAAAGAAAAGAAATAGCCTTGACCATATGTCTTTTATAGAAGACAGTATTGTATTCTGTAACCTTTGAAGGTCAAATCCTAGTAAATGAGAGAAACCCCACCGTGCTAAACCCCTCTCCATACTCTGTGGTGTCCATTCTGTAGATGCCTCCTCCACATCAAGTACACATAAGTTTCTAGATCTTTTTGGAATGTTCCCTCCTATTATCTCCTTTTTCCAAGATTGAGTTAAAGCAGCGCTGAAGAACTTAATGGAGATACTTTTCTCACAGTCATGCGAAAATTATTTTTGAGCAGTTTGGACCTGGTACTGATCCCATCTGCTTAAAGATAAAATCAGTGGAGACAAAGGAACTCTACAAATGCAGGGATTAAGAGAGAGTTGAGAATTTTGAAAATTGGGTCTTGTGTTCTAAAGTTTTAGTCACCAAAGAAAACTGGCAGTGATGAAAGTGAAGAGAGACAAAAACATCTTAGATAATTACAGGAAGGCCCGGGGGATGCAGAGGACACGGAGCTGGAGCCCCTCATGGCGGGGTGGGGGTGGTGGTGTGCTGTTTCCTTGGTCAGTGTGTGCATTTGCATCTTGACTTTAAACCTGTCTTCCCAACATGTTATTACGAAAATCTTCATCCCATGTGTGGAAAGCATGGTGCAGTGAGGCCTATCCCGCACCTCGCTTCTATGGTGAACATTTTTCTGTTTTCTTTATCAACTGCCTATCCATCTCTCTATCCATCCTTCAGGCTTTTTATTTATTTATTTTTTGGTACCGGAGATCGAACTCGGGTCCTTGCACTTGTGCAGCAGGCGGCGAAACCACTGAGCTAAGTCCCCAGCCCATCAGTCTTACTTTTGATGCTTCCCAAAATGAGTAGAAGGCATAAATACTAAATTTCTAAACATTTCAGCATGTGCATCGATACTTGTTGATGATCCTTTTTATTAGTTGAGATAACATTTACATGTACTGAAATACCCGAGTCTGCCCAAATCTTGGATGTTTGGATTCTTTTTCACAAGCGCATCTGCCTGTGGCTAAGACAAAGAACATACATCTTCTCCCAGAAAGTTCGCTCGTGTCCCTTTTCGAAGGGGTGCGTGCCCGGCCCTGAGACTGTACGTGCTGTTCTCATGGATGAGCTCTGCCTGTCCCAGAGCTTGTGTCCGTGAACCCTTCTGTGTCCCCTGCCTGTGTTGCGTCAGGCTCCTCCATTTGGCGCTAGGGTCTGCAGTCTGTCTCAGATCCCCTGTGAACTGGGTCGGGCAGTTCTGCTGACCAGATGAATTTTTGACTTGCAGGTTTGTTCCCTGCCATTCTCAATCTGGCCACCAATGCTGAGATTAGTGCCAATGCCACCTGTGGCGAGAAGGGACCCGAGATGTCCTGCAAACTCGTGGAGCACGTGCCTGGCAGGCGTGTACGCAACGCCCAGTGCCGGCTCTGTGATGCCAACAGTGCGAGCCCCAAAGGTAAGTGTGCCTCCTTCTAGTCCAGACAGTTTGTTTTGTTATTTTGTGTTTATGTCATGTTATGTTGTGCTGTGCTATCTATGCTCAGTTATTTCATTCACTGCTTTATCTTAGCGTTTCTCCATGCACCCTGGCCTTGCACCTGCTCACGGAGCTGGTGCCTGCCCGTGGGAATGTGACTTTCTGAAGCGCTCACTGAGGCTTTCATTGGAGGTCGTGAACGTGGTGTTCACCTTGAGTGGTGTTCATTTCCATTATGAGTTTAGAAGCTGAAAGATTGAAAGCAAGAGTTGGGAAGAGTGCTTGTTTTTATTTTCTTGTTAACAGAACACCACCCGATATCGAATGCGATCGATGGCACCAATAACTGGTGGCAGAGCCCCAGTATTCAGAATGGGAGAGAGTACCACTGGGTCACCATCACACTGGACCTAAGACAGGTAGGTCAGGGCTGCTGGCAGGGCTGGGCTGCTGGCAGGGGGTCGTGGTGGCTCCTGGGAAGTTCACCTTGCTTCTCAGCACGTGCACATGCCGACCTCACTGCTCTCCACCGGGGAGGTCCCCTGATGTGCAGGCCCAGTGTGCGACACCATTTCTTGTCACCTAGGGACATGGCTGAAGTTGCTTCCCTGTGGCTGGTGTTCTGCACACCTCCGTAGCCGGATGTACTCACGGTTCAGGGTGCCAAGCCAGGCTGTGTGCTAGATGCCCGGGGAGGGTACAGGGCCAAATGCATCCACTCCTCCCATTCAGACTTACTGTCTTGCTGTCTTCCTCATGCAGTTACTGTACGAGGCCTCGGCACAAAAGAGGTGCTGTAACCTCTTGGCTATGCCTCAGCCATGTCAGATGCACCTGTCAGGGCCGGGGGCAGATGGGAGCTGCTTGGGACTAATGTGGGCAGCACATTCAGCATGCAGTGAGAAAGGCCAGGTCCATTCGGTTCTGGCCCCACCTGTGTGTTCTCACCTGGCTTCAAGGCCACAGGGGAGAATCAAAGCAGACATGGGCCCTGGTTGGCCCAGTATTTTTAGAAAAGATGAAAGGAAAGACATCTGAACAGAAAAGATGAAAAAGAGAAATAGGAGGTATTTTGTAGCTTCTGTCACAGTTTTTGATTTGAGTTCTTTGTAAAAGCCACCGCATTCTTATTTCCATCTGAATTTTCTTGTTTGAACTCCTAGATTTCACATAAAATATTTAGATGAATTGAAAGAGATAAATGAGTTACACGAACATTGTAGGAGTGAAATAGGAGTTTTGGAGATTTAGTGATAATCAGAATTCCTTAAATAAGTGGTAGCTTTAAAAATGTATAGGATTTTAAGTAGAAGACAAAAGGATGTTGTGCATATTTATGTATAAGAAACTTTTGATCTCTGGTAATTATAGAGAATAAGGTAGCAAAATGGGAAGCACATATATGCTATCATACGGATAAGTGTCCCCCAAATGGATGAATGTCATGGTGGTATTATTGGGAAGTGATGGAACTTTGAGGAGGTGTGGCTGTATGGTAGGAATTTGGGTCACTAGGGGTATACCTTTGACAGGGATATTGGGGCCTTGACCCCTTCCTGTCTTTCTCTTTCACTTCTGGGGCACCCTGAGGTGAGCAGCTTCCTCTTCCACACACTCCTGCCATGATGTGAGACCTCACCACAGGCCCAAAAGCCAATGGGCAAATTTACCATGGACTGAACCCTCTCCAAGTGTGAGCCAAAAAACCTTTCCTTCTTATCTTAGGTATTTTTGTCTCAGTGATGGAAATCTCCACAAGACAATGAGTTTAGTGAAATTAAGAGCTGGTTATTTTCCATATAGACCAGACCCTTGCGAGACTGTTTTGTCTTGTTGTAGGTCCAGCTGGACTTTCTCCTGAAGGAAGCCATGTGAGGGATTTCAGAAAAGAGTTTTAGATTTTTGAGGCATATTTGAAAAACAAGCACGGTGCCTAGTTATAGTCTCTTCTAAGTAATGCCTGTTGTTTTGAGGTGAACTTTTAGAAGAAGATAATTAAAACAGTTACCACTCAGAGGTTTCTTTACCTTTTGCGCAGTACAAAAATCCTTCTGTGCTTTCTTTTGAAAAGAAAATTGTGTTAAGCTTATGCTTTGGCAGGCCTTTCTGAAGTTTATTTATTTACTTATTCAATTATGACCTTTTCTAATGTGTAGAAAGCACATTACAGTGAGCACACAGAGACCCACTCCGTGAGGTACAGGGCACTTTCAGCTTTGGGCCTTATTTGTTTCAGAGTAATTACAATCATCAGGACATTTTACCAGCATTTCAGTTTATGTGTTTAAAAGATAAAGATATTTGCTCTGAATAGACACCATGCCATTAGCCCCCTTAACAAAATTAACAGTCATTTCCTAATAATTGTTTCACTGTCCAATTTTGCCAATTTTTCCATTAAGGTCTTCTGTAGCTTTTTTTCCTTTCTGACCAGGAATCCATAAGGGCCACTTACTACATTTGACCATTATCATTCCTAGTTCTCTTCTAATCTGAATTGCCCTCCACTTTTTTGTAAACAGTATTGAATTTCTGAATAGACAAGGCCATTTGTGTTACAGAACATCGCACAGTCTGATGTGCTCGCTGTGGTTTTACCTAAGATGTTCCCTCCTGCCTTCTGTTTTCTATCAGCTAAATTCAGCTTCAGGTGCCTGGTGAGATGACATGAAATCTCTTGGGCAAGAGTGCCCCTGGGAGACCCTGGGTGCCTGGCACTGCCTGCCCTCGGAGGGTGCCCAGGGCAAGCCCTGTCTGCCTGCTGCCAGCCAGACCGTTTCCTGCCAGAGTCACGTCCTTGTCCCTAGCACATCCTCCCTTGTTCCTTAGGTCTGGCTGACGCTCAGATGTACAACCTGGCTACCTTCATCTGACTCTGTCCTCGTCCTGAAATCTGTTTTCCGACAAAGCCAGTTGGCACCTAGGACCAGGTTATTTCTAGATTAGAGCAGGCATGATGGAAAATGTTTAAATTTTTTTTCTTTAAAAATTTATTACAGTAGAAGACACATTGCCTTAAGTTCCCCTCAAAATCCTCCCCCTACTCTGAACACACTCTTCCCAGCGTTCTTTCTACTCTGAGCAGTTCTGGAGAGCTCTTCCATGAGTGTCTCCTTGTGCTGTTGTGGTTGTATCAGTGTCCAGAACTGACTCACAGCATTTACTGTTCCTGGTCATGCTGGCTTCGGGGAGGAGCCATAAGTTGCACAGCCCTGGATCCGGTGAATGAAGTGGATGAGGACACATGGTCACGTGTTCAGGAGGCTGCTGTTCTGTGCAGTGGCCCTCGGCAGAAGTATTCAGTGACAAAAGAGCCCTTCTAGAACTGTTCCAGAAAGGGGCAACAACAATGGGAGGAGTGTGTTCAAAGCGAAGGGAGGGACTCTGAGGGGTAAATGCAGTGCCACTTGTACTGTAATTGTTTTTAAGTAAAACAGTCACAGTACATTTACGTCTTATTGTCTATACTTCGGGAGGGGGAGGGCGGGGACACAGCTGTCTTCCTCCTTTTCTTTCTTTTCCCTTTCTTTCCCCGTTCATGTTGTTGAGGGATGTCTTCCTTCAACAACACCCAGACATGGATGCAGTTCAGGCTCGGGAACAACACGGCGGTGTGGACTGGCATTTTTTTCTTACTTTCTTCTCCTGATGAGAAGGTGACAGTGGGCCAGCAGGTCCTTGGAGGCCCAGGTGCAGTCCTGTAAAAATGGAACATCTGCAGTCAGATTTCTAAAGTAAAATTGTAGGTAGGCCTTAACATTATCAGGATCTGCAGTCAAACTTGCTGTAAAGGAGTTCGTGGAATTCCATAAATGTGTCAGTTCCCGAGGTTTATGACCAGTGCGCCTTTGTTCCGTGTCGCAGTGCTAAAGACATTGACCTCGTTCTTATTTCTCTAGTGGAGGACAGATACTGAAATCAGCATTTTAAGACTCTGTGTTTGGTTTTCTGAAAGATAAATTAAAGATACAAAGTTGTGCTGTCAGAAGGTTTATAAATGTTGTATGGTTTGCAATACAGTTTAACTACAGTGTTTGTCTTAGTAACGTATTACAAGAAGAATGATTAGATTTATTTCTCTACTTCTTATAAATAAGCCTGATATTCATTTCTTTCATTGATTTATACTTTAGAAGTTACATTTACTTTTTAAAAAATCCATGGGAATTGAATGTGTGTGGTATTTTTTTTTTCTTTCTTTTTGGTGCCAGGGATCGAACTTGGGTCCTTGCACTTGCAAGGCAGGTGGCAGAACCACTTTGTGTGGTATTTTTATTTAAATAAAAATAAAGCTGAATCAACTTTTTACAAATGTAAAACTGACATTAACACGTTCATGTTGGGGCCATAATTTGTATGTCTCGCTGTGGGGTGACTGTGAACCACTGGTGGTACGTGCATGACTGTCCCATTGAGTGGCATGGAACCAGCCACCCGGTTGAACAGTCATGCATGTACCCACCGGTGGTTCAAGCCAGCAGGGACGTGTTAATGTTGTGGCCTGCATTAATAAAATGCTGATTACTGTGCAGTGATTTAGGGCTCATTCATTAACACTGCCACTGAACTGAGTCAGTGATCTTTGCTGATGACTTAAAATTGAAAAGAAGTCATTCTGAGAGAAAAAATGTATTTCATGGATCTTGAATTTTACAATTTTCAAAAATCCCTTTAGGCCCCTCTAATTCTATTAAAATGCATTCTCTATGGTAGTATGTCTCAGTAGAAGAAGTGTTTCCGGTTTGAGGCCTGGGAGGTCAGTGGTAGAGCACTTGCCTAGCATGGACAATGCCCTGGGTTCCATCCCCAGCATCAAATCAAATCAAATCCTCATTCCAGTTTGAGTAACACCATATTAAAATTTAATTACTAGGTAGATGAAACAATGGTCAACATCATTAGTCATAAGGGAAATGAACATGAAAAGCAGAATAAAATGTAACTTCATATCCGTTAGGACAGCTGTAATAGAAGAAATGGAAACTAACAAGTGCAGGCAAGAATGCAGAGAAATTGACAGCCGTCTGTGCTGTTGTTAGTGTGTAAAACGGAGCAGCTCCTGTGAAACCAGTATGATAGCTCCTCCAAAATCAAGTGTAGAATGGTCGTATGACCCACCAGTTCCACTTGTGGGGAAGAGAAAGCCAGGACTCAAACAAACGCTTGTCCACTAAAGTTCATAGCAGCCAGAAAGAAGAAAGGGCCTAAATGTCCATCAGCAGGTGATTAGGTAAACACAGCATGGTCTACACTTGATCTTAGCCAAAAGGCCGAGAAGTGATAGAGGATCCTGTATCCAATAGTATCCAGGCTCAAAAAGGAATGAAATTCTGACACAACGCTCTAGTAAGGATATACCTTGAAAACATTATGCAAAGTGAAATAAGCCAGACACAAAAGAAAAAACACTCTGATTGCA